CTATTGTCCTTATCTCTTCTACTTGTTTTCTTTGTATATGAGTACTCTCTTTTACTTTTAACGCTTCTAATCTTCAATAGTAGAGGTAGTGCTTGATGAAGCCCATGTGGGACGCTCACTGTTAAAAACAGACTGGAAACGACAAATGCAGTTTTTAGGACTCCTGAATAGACATGAAAGTCTTGAACATCTAGCTCTCACTGGCAAAATTGAAGGCAGACGAGGCATGGGTAGGCCCAGAGCAACCTACTAAAGGTACCTAAACACATTGGTAACGGGAAAAGATCAGGGATACGTAGCTTTTTTTAAGAGCATCCGAGCAAAGGAATGAATGGAGAACCATGATCGCCGATGTCTGTTGCAGATCTGGCACTGGATGATAATGATGAATCTTCAGCACTTATATGAGCTATTTGTGTTGCAAGTGCCTTGAAATTCGTACTAAAACTAAACACTAAACTCTGCTGCTTTTACTACTTAGCAGGGCCCCTTGCCTTCAGGTAGTCACATTACGATTTCGAAGGTACTCAGCATGTTTTTAAAACTGACTAGAGTATTCTCAGTTTTGGCTGGTATTTAGAATTTTGCCTGCGTGGCGCCGAACTCATCGATTTTAGAACCATCAATTTGCATCTGGGACCCCCCGAGATTTTTCGCCCTTATCATAGAAGGCTAGGTGTTATATCTTACCTACCCTGAGATTAGGGGTGTGGTTGAAAGACAGCCGTAACGAGGAGCCAGGAATAACAGTAGAAAGAGTCGGGAGTAAAAGAGAGAGAGAGAGAGAGAGAGAGAGAGAGAGAGAGAGAGAGAGAGAGAGAGAATACAGACGAGATATAGGTAGTGGAAATAGTATTAGTAGGAGTTGCATTCCAGAGTTTGGAGATTGGCGGAGATCAAAGGAGGATAGTACTGAGATAGAAGGGGAAGATTTCTGCGGTACGTTCTGATCTATTCCTGTCTGGCATGCTCCAAATATATCTCGTTCTTCCCCGCACGATGTTTCTGGCTACATATCTATCGAGATTCATGTCTGTCTGTCTATCTGTATGTCTGTCTGTCTGTCTGTCTGTCTGTTGATCTGTATACTTGTCTCTCTGTCTCTCTGTTTGTTTCTTTATCTGTCTGTCTGTCTGATCAGTTTTTTCCTCCTTCCTCTCCACATGTAGGTGAGTTTGTTGTAATTATTATTATTATTATCATTAT